GCTTGCAAAATAAGGTGATAGGTGATCTACTTGAGCCCAACTTCGTTGCTTCAAACAGTTTTAATGAAGGGGGGGACTGGGGGGAGACCTTTTTTGTGGGGGTGCTCCTCCATGGTCTCCTAGATGTGCAACTGCTAAGACAACAATATGAAAGCTCTGCTACCACATTCAATCATATAGATCAGTGGATTCAGTTGGTTGATCCTCCCAATCAGACAGGCCAAGCCCCTATCAGACTTGCAAAGGTCCCGTCAGACACAAATCATTGGCCCAAACAAGAAAAGTTTTTCTTAATTTTTGAAATAGTTTTTGGGGAAAAATACTCTCTAATTTTTTAAGCAGCAAGGGGATGAACCCTAGGACTACCACTAGGACTTCACCCCAGGACCCCGCTGAAAATTGGCAGAACAAATCCTAGGAACTTTTTAGCTGATTGGAATGCTTTACAGTGTGGATGTTTAATACACTTGCTCATATTTGCTTATTCTTGAAAATTATATTTGGTGTTCAGGCTGACTACTACCCACCTCATACTCCATCCCTGGTATCACTTGTAGTAGAATTACTTGTAACCCCTTCCTTCTGTTCCCTCTATAATCTCTGTTACCTCTATCATCATGGTTACTAAAGGTATGTCTGAAAAAAAGGAAATGTTACTGTATATTTTAAACAAATCTGTAAATGTGGGTGTTTGTGAGCAAAGCTGATCACATGGGTGAGTGTGGGTGTTGGAGAGTGAGTGTATACATCCAGTAGAGCTATATCACATTTGAGGGCATGGATGTTGGAGTGGGGTTGTACACATCCAGCCATAGCTGATCACTTGGATGGGTGTGGAGTTAATACAGTACATCAAGTAGAGCTGAGGTGGATGAGGGTGTTGGAGTTTTGGTGAGGGTGGTCATCCACCTGGAGCTGATCACTTTGTGTGAGTGCTTGAGTGTGGGGTAATACATTCAACAGAGCTGATCACTTGGGTGGGCATGGGTGCAAGTGTAGTACATCCAGCCAGAGCTGATCAGTTGGGTGTGGGAGTGTTTGCAAGGTTGGTCCATCCAGCCAGAGCTGATCACTTGGGTGGGTTTGGGTGTTGACATATTTGTGGGGTTGGTCCATCCAGCTATAGCTGATCACTTGGGTGTGTGTTATTATCACACAAGTGTATATGCTGTATTATGTCAGGTCATTAGGATTTGGGGTGTGTGTATGTGTGTTTCCTGGTAGAAGATATAATTTGCAATATGTAGCCTATAAAATTTAAAAAAAAACAATAAAATGGAAATAAAATAGAAGAAATAGCAAACATACCATATGCTGATGACACTTTAGTACTGGTAGCATCTAAAATAAGTTAAAAAAAAAAAATTAAATCAACACCTACTGTAACAATACATGTAAAAATTCTAAATTGTATCAAAGAGAAATAAAACTTCAATTGTTAGGTGCATATTTTTATTTAAATTTATGGATTTTATTGCAGTAGAAATTACATTGTAGGCAAATACTAAATTGTGATAAATTGGTTCCCCTTGTTATGAAATCTTGAGTCTTCTCCCAAGAAATATTACGAAAATTCAATATCAAGACAAAATAAATGAAAAAAAGTGATCCAAATGAATATTAGGCATACATACCTGTAAATTGTAATTGATTATTATATTGGTAGAATAAATGTTTTTCAAATAAATACAATTGAAAACTACCATAGCTAATTCACAGGAATAAAGATTTTTTAAAATTTTCAATACTTGGTATTAAAGGTAAAAGTAAAGGTAGTCCTGTATTCATTTTTGAACATAGGGGGATGAGCTGTTAGCCCATTGTAAAAAGCCTTGGCATTGTGTGGTAGGGTGACCAGTTCCTTTTCACGCTGGCTTTTTGCTTCTCAGTAGTGAACCACCGGGTGGAGAAGAGACAAACGTAGGTAAAGTTCCTTGTTCCAGAACACAAGCGAAATGCACAGTGAAGGATTGAAATCCCAGATCTGGATGTGGGGAAACTAAACCATTCCCACTGTGGCAAACCGCTTCCACTTTCTTTATATCATTAATGCCTTTGTGCCAACTAGTAGTGTCAGATGATATTAATTTCGGTAATTCTCATAGTAAAATTGTTTAGTTAGAAATTATGTACCTAGGCTTTTGGAATAGTACAGTAAACTGCTCAAGTTTTTATTGCATATTAGTAACACCACAGGACTCTTCCTGGTTTTAAATTGTATTGTGATGCAAAACATTCAAAATTCAAATTATGTTCAGGGATGGACTTAAAAACAAAGCTTTGGTTGAGGTAAAAAGTAAATGTCAAGAAAATTTGGTTAACAATAATCATTGCCACTATTAATCAACATTCTAGGATTCATGAGATAAAAATTTGGTGTACTGTTGTGTTCTTAGCTTGTAGTTTATTATTATGTCTTCCTACATGTTCAGTCTTCTAGAAATTGATGGACAATGAACCTAATTTACCACTTTAAAAAGTGGGGTTCATATCCTTCACTGATAGACAACCTCACCAATTAGGCATATCCATAAATTAGTCTTCAGTTTTGCTTCAAAGTTGTTGAATCATTCACTACAACTGTATTTAATCTTTAAAAATATGTTAACATCACACAAGTGTATATACAGTAGCTGGCAGAAAGTGCCCTTTAAATATGCTCGCTTCACTCACAAATAACGCACCCCGCGAATGCTGAAAGCTTCGCTAAATTGCTCCGAGTTCAGCTTGCCCACTGCGCTTTCGTTTTGACCCGCCCTTAGATTTTTCACCGTACGCCCCTGGGTCATTAGGACTTAAATAATATTGAGTAATTGGCATGGTAGGGGTGTGTGTATTTGTGTTGGTGGGAAATAAATTAAGAAATGTTACTTACGAACAAAGCGACTTTCTGTTGAAGATGTTGGCTCTGAAGTCGTGGATCCTAAAAAATATTTTGAAAAAAAAACTCCAATATTTAGAGATTATCAAACTAAATATTACATGTAGCAATTGAATTCATCATAAACGATTGAATTAGTTTTACAGTGCTTTTTAACATTTTTTGAGGAAAGATGCTTTTTTTGAGAGATGATTGATACAACTAGTCGAAATGGTGTTTTTTTTTATAACACACCTAAATAAATCATGTGACATTGGTTATTTACCCCATTTCGTAACTCATCATGGAAATTTAGTTCCACCATGCATTTTCGTTCCATCTGTTTTGCTACATTGCACGGTGCTTAGGATATAATATGACTTCAAACTAATACAATCTTTTGATTGGTTAAAAAGATGCTGGACTGTTCAATTTCGATAAAGCGTAGATTTTTTGTCATAAAATATTAAATGACAAGAATCTATGTTAGGTGTGTTATGAACAAATAATGAATGTTTTTTAACCATGTCACCCTATCTATTTATTCCATTAAAAAATGGTGGTTTACAGGGGTGGATCCAGACAAGGTAATTCAACAAAAGGACGCACATCTCGGGACATCAAAGGTTATAACTCTGGCATCGACATTCTAGGCGCACGTGCGTCCCTACACGCTGAACGTCACAAAAACCATAGCAACCAGACCATA